CAGACTGACCGCTGAGGGCAGTGCAGACACCTCCCATAGGGAACCAACACAGACTGACCGCTGGGGGGCAGTGCGGACACCTCCCATAGGGAACCGGCACAGACTGACCGCTGGGGGCAGTGCGGACACCTCCCATAGGGAACCAACACAGACTGACCGCTGAGGGCAGTGCGGACACCTCCCATAGGGAACCAACACAGACTGACCTCTGGGGGCAGTGCGGACACCTCCCATAGGGAACCAACACAGACTGACCGCTGGGGGGCAGTGCAGACACCTCCCATAGGGAACCGACACAGACTGACCGCTGGGGGCAGTGCGGACACCTCCCATAGGGAACCAACACAGACTGACCGCTGGGGGCAGTGCAGACACCTCCCATAGGAAACCGACACAGACTGACCGCTGGGGGCAGTGCAGACACTCCCCATAGGGAACCAACACAAACTGACCGCTGGGGGCAGTGCAGACACCTCCCATAGGGAACCAACACAGACTGACCGCTGGGGGGCAGTGCGGACACCTCCCATAGGGAACCGGCACAGACTGACCGCTGGGGGCAGTGCAGACACCTCCCATAGGGAACCGGCACAGACTGACCGCTGGGGGCAGTGCAGACACCTCCCATAGGGAACCAACACAGACTGACCGCTGGGGGCAGTGCAGACACCTCCCATAGGGAACCAACACAGACTGACCGCTGGGGGGCAGTGCGGACACCTCCCATAGGGAACCGGCACAGACTGACCGCTGGGGGCAGTGCGGACACCTCCCATAGGGAACCAACACAGACTGACCGCTGAGGGCAGTGCGGACACCTCCCATAGGGAACCAACACAGACTGACCTCTGGGGGCAGTGCGGACACCTCCCATAGGGAACCAACACAGACTGACCGCTGGGGGGCAGTGCAGACACCTCCCATAGGGAACCGACACAGACTGACCGCTGGGGGCAGTGCGGACACCTCCCATAGGGAACCAACACAGACTGACCGCTGGGGGCAGTGCAGACACCTCCCATAGGGAACCGGCACAGACTGACCGATGGGGGCAGTGAAGACACCTCCCATAGGGAACCGACACAGACTGACCGCTGAGGGCAGTGCGGGCACCTCCCATAGGGAACCAACACAGACTGACCGCTGGGGGGAACCAACACAGACTGACCGCTGGGGGGCAGTGCGGACACCTCCCATAGGGAACCAGCACAGACTGACCGCTGGGGGCAGTGTGGACACCTCCCATAAGGAACCGACACAGACTGACCGCTGGGGGCAGTGCGGACACCTCCCATAGGGAACCGACACAGACTGACCGCTGGGGGCAGTGCAGACACCTCCCATAGGAAACCGACACAGACTGACCGCTGGGGGCAGTGCAGACACTCCCCATAGGGAACCAACACAAACTGACCGCTGGGGGCAGTGCAGACACCTCCCATAGGGAACCAACACAGACTGACCGCTGGGGGGCAGTGCGGACACCTCCCATAGGGAACCGGCACAGACTGACCGCTGGGGGGCAGTGCAGACACCTCCCATAGGGAACCGGCACAGACTGACCGCTGGGGGGGGAGTGCGGACACCTCCCATAGGGAACCAACACCGACTGACCGCTGGGGGCACTGCAGACACCTCCCATAGGGAACCGGCACAGACTGACCGCTGGGGGCAGTGCAGACACCTCCCATAGGGAACCAACACAGACTGACCGCTGGGGACAGTGCAGACACCTCCCATAGGGAACCAACACAGACTGACCGCTGGGGGGCAGTGCGGACACCTCCCATAGGGAACCAACACAGACTGACCGCTGGGGGGCAGTGCGGACACCTCCCATAGGGAACCAACACAGACTGACCGCTGGGGGGCAGTGCGGACACCTCCCATAGGGAACCAACACAGACTGACCGCTGGGGGCAGTGCGGACACCTCCCATAGGGAACCAACACAGACTGACCGCTGGGGGCAGTGCGGACACCTCCCATAGGGAACCAGCACAGACTGACCGCTGGGGGGCAGTGCGGACACCTCCCCATAGGGAACCGACACAGACTGACCGCTGGGGAAAAAGCGGACACCTCCCCATAGGAACTCACACAGACTGACCGGGGCAGTGCAGACACCTCCTGATAGGGAACCGAATAATAGACTGACCACCGCTGGGGCAGTGCGCTTACCTATAGGGAACCGGTACTGACTGACCGCTGGGGCAGTGCAGACACCTCCCATAGGGAACCCGACACAGACTGACCGCTGGGGCAGTGCATACACTCCATAGGGGAACTCCACACAGACTGACCGCTGGGGCAGTGCATACACCCCATAGGGAACCGACACAGACTGGACCGGGCTGGGGCAGTGCAGACACTCTCCCACAGGGAATCACATTAGACTGACTGGGCAGTGCAGACACTCTCCCCACAGGGGAACCGACACAGACTGGGATCGCTGGGGCAGTGCAGACACTTCACAGGGAACCGACACAGACTGACCGGGGCAGTGCGGACACTCCCACAGGAACCAACACAGACTGACCGGGCCGGGGTAGTGTGGACACCCACAGGGAACCAACACAGACTGAACGCCGGGGCAGTGCGGACACCTCCCATAGGGAACCAACACAGACTGATCGGCTGGGGGCAGTGACACCTCCCATGGGAACCAACACAGACTGACCGGGCTGGGGCAGTGCAGACACCTCCCATAGGGAACCACACAGACTGACCGCTGGGGCAGTGCGACACCTCCCATAGGGGAACCTACACAGACTGACCGCTGGGCAGTGCAGACACCTCCCATAGGGAACCGACACAGACTGACCGCTGGGGGGCAGCGCGCAGACACCTCCCATAGGAACCCACACAGACTGACCGCTGGGGGCAGTGCAGACACCTCCCATAGGGAACCGACACAGACTGACCGCTGGGGGCAGTGCATACACCTCCCATAGGGAACCGACACAGACTGACCGCTGGGGGCAGTGCATACACCTCCCATAGGGAACCGACACAGACTGACCGCTGGGGGCAGTGCAGACACCTCCCACAGGGAACCGACACAGACTGACCGCCGGGGGGCAGTGCAGACACCTCCCACAGGGAACCGACACAGACTGACCGCCGGGGGCAGTGCGGACACCTCCCACAGGGAACCAACACAGACTGACCGCCGGGGGCAGTGCGGACACCTCCCACAGGGAACCAACACAGACTGACCGCCGGGGGCAGTGCGGACACCTCCCATAGGGAACCAACACAGACTGATCGCTGGGGGGCAGTGCGGACACCTCCCATAGGGAACCAACACAGACTGACCGCTGGGGGGCAGTGCAGACACCTCCCATAGGGAACGAACACAGACTGACCGCTGGGGGCAGTGCGGACACCTCCCATAGGGAACCAACACAGACTGACCGCTGACTGCACAAAGTAAGTGATATAGCTCCTAAATGGCAAAGAATTGAGCAGTTAAACTGCAGAGGCACGATCTACACACCAAAACCACTCCATTAAGCTAAAGTTGTTATAGTGCGTATAGTGTACCCAGGGCCGGCCCAAGACAATGTGCACCCCCTTAAACCTTGCGCTCATCCAGGAGATGCAGTGTGTGTATTGTATGCAGTGTGTATAGTAAATGCATTGTATGCATGTGTATAATGGAAAGAGAATGTGTGTGTGCAAAGTGGATGCAGTGTGTAGTGGATGCAATGAAGTGAGTGCAGTGTCTTTGTAATGGATATTGTATAGTGGATGCAGTGTCAGTGTTTGTGTAGTGGGTGCAGTGTCTGTGTAGTGGTTTTATGGATAGAAATTAATGGTTTGATCCACAACAGTGTGTGCAATGTCTGTGTGTAGTGTATGTAGTGTGTGTAGTGAATGCAGTGTGTGTAGTGGATGTAGTGTTGGTGTGTAGTGCATGTAGTGTTTGCAGTGTGTGTAGTGGATGCAGCGTCTGTGTGTAGTGCATGTTTTATGTGTAGTGGATGCAATGTCAGTGTGTAGGGCACGTAGTGGTTGCAGTGTGTGTAGTGGATGCAGTGTCTGTGTGTAATGCATGTAGTGTGTGCAGTGTATGTGTATTTGTGTGAAGTGCATGTAGTGGATGCAGTGTATGTGTGTAGTGTGTGTAGTAGATGCAGTGTTTGTGTGTAGTGCATGTAGTGTGTGTAGTGGATGCAGTGTCTGTGTGTAGTGGATGCAGTGCATGTAGTGTGTGTAATGGATGCAGTGTCTGTATGTAGAGTGTAGCAGATGCAGTGTTTGTGTGTAGTAAATGTAGTGTATACAGTGACTGTGTAGTGCATGTAGTGTGTGCAGTGTATGTGTGTCTGTGTAGTGTGCGTTGTGTATGTGTGTGTGTAGTGCATGTAGTGTGTGTACTGTATGTGTGTAGTGCATGTAGTAGGGCTGTGAGGGGTGATTAGTTTTTTTTAAAATGTAGGATTACGTGTATTTCCCCCTCCCTGCCTCTTACCTGTGGTCAGGGAGGGGCAGACTAGATGGGTCAAATGGTTCTTATCTGCCTTCACATTCTACGATTCATGGTGGTCCAGTGGCACATTTTGCTATGTCCTGTGTAGAGGTTGCTGAGAGGTATGCTCTTTCCCTGTAGTGAAGTGTCATGTCTTCTCCTCTCACTAGCCAAGTGAGTGTTGCCACGGGTTGCTATGGCAACGCCCTGGGCGACACGTAATGCACATGGGAATTTATGCAAGTCCCCAGGTCCAGGGACAGCCCCCCATGGACCTGATGGGATACAAGTACAGTACAATTATTCAACCAATCACAATACAGTGTATCATTCAAACTAGTACCCGCCGAGCTTGGAGATAATGAAGCCAACGGTTATACAATCTAATTATCTCCAAGCGCCCAAAACGACCATGCTTTATTATGTCCCAGAAAACAGTATTGTGGCAAACCCTGCCACTAGAAATGACTATTCTGTGCGAATGAAAGACTTTTCACCGAATGGACTTTCTTGATATATTGCTGTTTCAGACGAATTGCTCAAAACTACCGAACGTAAGACCACCCCGGGGTGGTCGTGTGTTGCTAATTAACGGATCGATACAATGTTGCGAGGGAATTAAGTGCCTGTATGGGGGGCCGCCATTTCGCATACTGAACACGTGTCGGCGGCCATCTTACGCACGAACAGCGGTACTTGGTTGTCGAACGCCTGGAACTCAAACCGGGCATTCGGCTAACCAAGTACCGCTGAGACCTCCAGCATGCTCCGACAGCACGAATTAAACACACGAACGCCCCGGCGTTCGGTAGATAGATTCCCCTAAACAAGGGGATTCGTGCAAAGGCTGGCAATCGCATGGATGGCTATGTCATTCGGTAATTTTAATTCACTGAAATAGACCGACCGCAGGGCCAGAATTCATAGAACTGTTTTCGGAGTCCCTGCGGTCGGTCAAAACTGTAATTGTCTGTAACTCCCGAACCCCTGGTCCGATCTGGGTGAATTTCGAGTATGTTGCTCACCCAGGTCAGACCTACCAGGGGATCCTCCCTGTAACCCCAGTATTTAGGGGACATCCAGAAAGTGGGGAAAACTGTGTCTGCACTAATTTGTTTAACTGTTAATCTAAGGGGAGGAGAAGGAGAGGAGGTGACCGGGTTACAATTGGCTACTGTAAGAATTATGAAAGTTACCTCCCTTGCATGGGAGAAATGCATAAAAAGAGACCTGTGATTAAAGCTGGCAGTTGACTCCCAGACTATGTGTCGTCTAGTCCTTGGGGAGGTGGATTATGCTGTGTTCCTGTGATTTTGTATGCTGACTCTTTGTTCCCCTTGGATTAACCCCTGCTCCTCCGCTACAAGTATAAAAATATATAACTCAGGCATTAGCAAGCGAATATAGTCCTTTCCACATTTCATTCGGTAGCTCAGCGCTGGATGCATTAAGTGTGCGAATTGCGCCCAACTCCCACGAACAGAGCCGGAGGTTTCTGCTATCTAAAGTTCTGTTCGGTAGTCGGATGCTAAGCCCTCGATGGCGGCCATGTTTTTGGGTCCGTCAATGGCTAGCGGGACCTTGACGCTGAATTCATGGAGCGAAGGTCGGGTACGGAATCATGCGAATCCCCGCTACCCGTCTGGTTGTCGAGTCCGTTCGTGGTACGAATGGAGCCCGCCCGGGAGAGGCACTTAACCTGCGGTTAACCGCAGACTGCAATGCCTGAGGGGAGGTAGATAAGCGGCACACTGCTAAGGCTGGGTGGTCGGCCGTTCGGTACTTTGCGGGGTGAAGGGGTTAAGTGGCGGCACACGCCTAGGGCTGGGTGGTCGGTCGTTCGCACCAACGAATGAGGCTTTATGTTAGTTTGTTTAATCCGTTCGCCTGGCCTGCATGCCGCTAAAATAGAGTCTTAATAAGTAGAAACATGGAATAACAATATAACAAGTCTGTGTAACAAAGTCTTTGTAACAGTTGTAATCAGTATCTGCTTGCATTGGGTAGGTGAAGAACGGTGTATAACAATGAAAGTAATAACAATATAATTAACGTTTCATGTCACAATGCTGTTTAATACTAAATGGTGTCATTATGGGGTCGGTCAATTGTCTGTTGGGCATCAGGGATGGTAGTGGTCGAGTAAATATCGCCCAGATGTGGTCCCTTGGTGGGTTCCAGGTTTAGGTTGGGTGTATGAGAACGGCCGTGATACATCTTTGTGTTCTCGGTTTAAATGGTTGTGGATAGGTAAAGAGAAAATGTCAGCAAACATAACCGGTGGTAGGATTAAATCTGGGGGGATAGGGGCCTGGGGATGCCTTCGCTGTATATTGTGAACCTCTTGTGAGGGTGTCTCTCTGGTGTCTATGTATGGTGTATGGTTGTATCAGTGTGGGGGCGCTTTGGTATTCTTTACATATCCTGTGGCCCCATCTTATTGTATCATGGGATCTGAGGTGTGGCAGAAGGAGGGATAATAGTGGGATCGTAGGGTTAGGGTTTCAGTGTTTCAGGGGCATCTGGTGTGCATGGGGTCTGTCCTGGGACTGTGCAGTGGGGTGTGTGGCTGGTGTGTGTGTACAGTTGCAAGAAAATGTATGTGAACCCTTTGGAATGATATGGATTTCTGCACAAATTGGTCATAAAATGTGATCTGATCATCATCTAAGTCACAAACTAATAACACACAAAGATTGAAATGTTGCCATGTTTTTATTGAACACACCATGTAAACATTCACAGTGCAGGTGGAAAAAGTATGTGAACCCTTGGATTTAATAACTGGTTGAACCTCCTTTGGCAGCAATAACTTCAACCAAACGTTTCCTGTAGTTGCAGATCAGACGTGCACAACGGTCAGGAGTAATTCTTGACCATTCCTCTTTACAGAACTGTTTCAGTTCAGCAATATTCTTGGGATGTCTGGTGTGAATCGCTTTCTTGAGGTCATGCCACAGCATCTCAATCGGGTTGAGGTCAGGACTCTGACTGGGCCACTTCAGAAGGCGTATTTTCTTCTGTTTAAGCCATTCTGTTGTTGATTTACTTCTATGCTTTGGGTCATTGTCCTGTTGCAACACCCATCTTCTGTTGAGCTTCAGCTGGTAGACAGATGGCCTTAAGTTCGCCTGCAAAATGTCTTGATAAACTTGGGAATTCATTTTTCCTTCCATGACAGCAATCCGTCCAGGCCCTGACGCAGCAAAGCAGCCCCAAACCATGATGCCCCCACCACCTACTTCACAGTTGGGATGAGGTTTTGATGTTGGTGTGCTGTGCCTTTTTTTTGCCACACATAGTGTTGTGTGTTTCTTCCAAACAACTCAACTTTGGTTTCATCTGTCCACAGTATATTTTGCCAGTACTGCTGTGGAACATCCAGGTGCTCTTGTGCAAACTGTAAACGTGCAGCAATGTTTTATTTGGACAGCAGTGGCTTCCTCTGTGGTATCCTCCCATGAAATCCATTCTTGTTTAGTGTTTTACGTATTGTAGATTCACTAACATGGATGTTAGCATTTGGCAGTGACTTTTGTAAGTCTTTAGCTGACACTCTAGGATTCTTCTTCACCTCATTGAGCAGTCTTTGCTGTGCTCTTGCAGTCATCTTTACAGGACGGCCACTCCTAGGGAGAGTAGCAGCAGTGCTGAACTTTCTCCATTTATAGACAGTTTGTCTTACCGTGGACTGATGAACAGCAAGGAGATACTTTTATAACCCTTTCCAGATTTATGCAATTTAACAATTCTTAATCGTAGGTCATCTGAGAGCTCTTTTGTGCGAGGCATCATTCGCATCAGCCAATGCTTCTTGTGAAAAGCAAACGCAGAACTGGTGTGTATTTTTTATAGGGCAGGGCAGCTGTAACCAACACCTCCAATCTCATCTCATTGATTGGACTCCAGTTGGCTGACATCTCACTCCAATTAGCTCTTGGAGATGTCATTAGTTTAGGGGTTCACATACTTTTTCCACCTGCACTGTGAATGTTTACATGGTGTGTTCAATAAAAACATGGCAACATTTCATTCTTTGTGTGTTATTAGTTTAAGCAGACTGTGATTGTCTATTGTTGTGACTTAAATAATGATCAGATCACATTTTATGACCAATTTGTGCAGAAATCCATATCATTCCAAAGGGTTCACATACTTTTTCTTGCAACTGTATACATCCGAGCACCTGCAAGTGTCAGGTTCTTACCTGATGGGGAGTCCGGCTCGCAGAGTTATACGCTCACCCTTGCAAAGTAGACACAGACCAGGGTGACCACGTAAGACGCCACCTGATCTGTGAGTCTGTGCACAGGGGCTTTCCAGGAATAGTGCTCCAAGTAGCAGTACAGCAGGGATTAGCAGAAGCGTAGTAAAGGAAAGCCAAAGTCAGGGGAAGCCAGAGATCAGAGTAGTCCAGGAGGAAAGCCAAGGTCAGAAGCCGGAATCAGACAGGAAATACTGGAACGCAGATATAGCAAGACAGGAACCAAACAAGGGAACCAGAGTCAATGAACTGACACTGCCTTCAGGGAGAGGCAGTGTCTTATACCTGGCTAATTGGTGATCAGCCACAGGTGTGCTGAGATCGTTGGAGCAGCCACAGAATAACATCCAGCCCCCAGTGCTGGGTACAAGGCAAGATAGACTTCTGGCTATCTCTCAAGCTGATATGGTGGCTCAGAGGCAAAATAGCAGCCCCAGGACTGCAAAGTCCATCACCGGGCACTTCTGGGGCGACCTCGTCTGGCCGTCGGAATGTCGCGGTGAGAACCGTGACAGGAAGTCCTGTGGTAGGTCAGGGGCTGAATGGGGGTCTGTGTTCAGCATGGGGTTTCAGTCCCTGCTGGTCTTGTTTGGGATAGGAGTATAACGTATCTCCAGTCGGAATGGAAGGGGTGGGACAGGCGGGTGGGAAAAGGGGAGAGTAGGCGGAGGGGCAGCGTAGAAGAGGGGGCATGTTTTGCTTTTTTAACACTCCAAAGACAGTTTCATTTTCTTCCCTAGTCCAGCCTGCAAAATTAAGAATATCCATCAAGGTAAATGCACCGAAATGCATCACATCGCAAACTGAATAATTACCAAGAGGAGCGTCCACCCCAGCTAGAGAAAGAATCCACCGAACCCAATGAGGCAGCACGATAACCGACACTGGATAATAGGGTTTCAAATATGATATTAGAAGCTGGCCTGAACACAAAGACGACAAGATAGAAGTAACTGGAACATACTGCAAAAGAGCCCTAGCAATTCAAGATTTGGGCTTTATAGTAAAAAATGGAAATAAAACTGAAGACAAGTCTGACCTAGTCCTATGTGAGTTGGTGAAAGTCACCCCATGTGGAGAGAAGGAAAAACCATTTACATCAAAAGAACAAACATCAGCTACTCGCTGGAAAGAGACCTTTCTAAGAGACCTTAGAAAAATTATCTTTACCCAGCCAATCCCGAAGAAAATGAATAACCAGAAACATGTCCCAGAGACGTGTGTACTTAGGACCCAAAGGATGCAAAAATCGAATGGTCTGCAACTGTCTGCCTGAACAGAGAAAGCAAAAAGGTTGAACACAGAAGAAGGGAAAATAAGAGCCATTCCACCCCCCCGTTACACCAAAGCGGTATTGTGAAATAGGGAAGCGAGCAGGGAAATATTCCCCTCTTCCCACCTATCGAGAAGCAATAAATGCTAGGAAAGGGGTAAGATAAAAAAAGTCCCCCAAGCCCAAGAGACAGCCCAAGAGTGGAAATAAAGAAGGGAGGGAGGGGGAGGGAAAACAACAAGATAAAACTAAGCAAATATAAGCATACAATTGCAAATATAGGCAGAGAGAGAACCAGAACTCTGACCTGTGCTTGGCAGGAGCAGCAAAGAAGAGGAGTAGTCTAGAGAGTGCATGGCTTATTACTTTTTGTTTCGAGGGTAATGTTGCAACTGTGGGGGTGCCATAACGGAAGTTAAACAAAATATAAAGCCTCCTCTTATGTATTAAAATTACTCTTGATGGTCTATAAAAAGATATATATTTTAAGTGCTAAATGTTTGTGTTTTTGAAAGGTACCAGGTTAAATGGATAAAATATTCTCATATATTTGAGGAAAAGCAGTGAGTGATCTGTTGCTACTTTTAGACTTTATAAGGTCAAATATATTACTTGTCTGTCCAATTATACTGTCATGCTAAACTAATTAAATTAATCAATATACCAAAGGTTAAACTGAACAACTGGGGGTAGGTTTAAAAAAAAAAAATAGCCCTCTAGGGGTGTTCTATAAAATGCAGAATAAATAGCAACCCTAGCTCAAAGTGACTTCGGTGAAGACCTCAATTTAGTCATTATGTATCTTACCCTCGCATCCCTGTTCTGCTTCCAGCATCCAACATCTGCTATTTTTTGTGGGATGTGAGGTTACATGATCAGGGACAATATTGAGTAGTGTGTATAAATTATAATGTAGCCCTATGATAACACATTTGTTCAGTGTTAAAATGAGTGGATAGACTTTCTTAAAAATGCAACAAGATTCTCGCAAGATTTAGTAGATCAGATTAGTTAGTAGTATCCTGTATAAATATTGCAAACCTCTGTAGTATAAGTAAGGTAAAGGTGGCATTCATAAGCTGTGCATATATGTTTCTGAATTGGTCTGACAAAGTCACTTTACTGGCACACGTGACACTCCACAACATGCACACAAATATATATTCACAGACACATAGCAAGACACATGCTGCACACATAGATATACACTGCCAGACACACACAGATGCAGACTGCCAGACATAGATACACTCTTAGGCACAGTGATACAGAGACTCATACATAGATAGATTTACATGTCCTGCAACACATATTTCTCTCTAAAACCACAATTCACACACAGTTATACACTGCTAGACACACTCTCGGATATACAGTGTTATACACAGTACCACACACATATTGCCACAGATAGACAATAACATATTACCACACATACTATGGTGATATAAACACACACACTGCCGTACATAGATATATGCATACCGCCATGCTCACACATATACACATTGGTAAGAGGAATTCCTGCATTGGATGAAACACGTAGGGCTGGGAGATTAATACAGTGTTCAGACTTTGAATTAGTACAAGTCAGTTTTTATTTTTTACTTTGCAGCTTAGCTATTGCTGAGGAACTTTATCCATTCCCTGACCTGGAAAGAGTGAGATGTTTAAATAGAGATATTAACCAAGGGACAGGTCAGAGTGTCCTCTACCAGCTAAAGACATAAGCTGGGGAAGACCTATGGACCCATCAACTGTAAATAGTAGCTCTATGCCTTATGGACGAGTAAAGGTTTTACCAAATATTTTTTGGGGGCTTTTAGGCTACTAATTTAACTTGAGTTGTACTTATTCCTATACACTCACTTCCTTTAGGAGTGAATGTCTTGGATATTGTCTTTATCCCCTTTCTAAGAGTGATATGTTGATGTGCAAAATGTTTTTTTTTATCCTGTGAGTGCAACTTAAATAAAGCTGCTAATGTTGTCTATACTTTTACACTATGTGTATGTTTCTCTCCTTCCCTTTCATGTATTGAACATGAGGAAAGAGAAGATAAGAAGGTCATATATTTAAAAGCCTTTCTACATGTATTGTCAATGGTACCTTGGTGAGTGCAATATATTATTATTATTATTATTATTTTATTATTTATATAGCGCCATCACATTCCGTAGCGCTGTACATTGGGTGGACTAACAGACATGTAATTTTAACCAGACAATTGGACGTACAGGAACAGAGAGGTGGAGTGCCCTGCTCAATGATCTTACATTCTAGAGGGAGTGGGGTATAGTGACACAAAGGGTAAAAGTAGGGGTATGAAGTAGGTTGTTAGAAAAGTATTCATTGAGGGCATGGTAGGTAATTTTTGACAGTTGCAGCAGAGGAGCCATGGGGGGTGGGGGATGAAAACCTGCTTATAGTTTAACTGATATGCTTTCTTGAAAAAGTGAGTTTTGAATGATTTTTTGAATGAGTAGAGACTGGGCGTTCCACAGAAGAGGTGCAGCCCTGGAGAAATCTTGGAGGCGAGCATCAGAGGTGGGAGTACGGACAGAGGATAGACATAGGTCTTTGGCAGAGCGTAGGGGCCTCGATGGGACATACTTGTGTATTAGGAAGAATAGGTAGGTTGGAGAAGCATTATGTAGGGACTTCTAAGCAAGCACCAGAATTTTAAATTGAGCCCTATATTTAACTGGAAGCCAGTGCAGGGACTGACAGAGCGGGGAGGCGAGGGAGGTGCGAGCGGACAGGAAAATGAGCCTTGCCGCTGCATTCATTATAGATTGCAGCAGTGCAATCTGGGAACATGTAAGACCACTGAGAAGGGTATTGCAGAAGTCAAGGCGAGAGAGAACAAGAACATGGACCAGCACCGTAGCCGCATCTGTGGTTAAATAGTGCGAATGCGCGCTATGTTTTTGAGATGGAAGCGACAGGATTTGGCGATTGATTGGATGTGAGGGGTGAAGGAGAGGTTGGAGTCAAAAAGAACACCCAGGCAGCGAGCTTGTGAGGTAGAGGTGATGGTGGCGCTGTTGACTTGGAGGGAGACACACACAAACACTTGAGGGAGGAAAGACCAGAAGTTCTGTTTTGGACAGGTTGAGTTTAAGGAACTGAGCAGCCATCCAGTTGGAGATCGAAGAGAGGCAGTCAGAGACACAAGTCAAGATGGGTGGAGAGAGATCAGGAGAGGACAGGTAGATTTGCGTGTCATCCGCATAGAAATGATAACGGAAGTCAAAGGAGCTGATGAGTTTCCCAAGGGAGGCAGTATAGATAGAGAACAGTAGGGGACCAAGGACAGAACCTTGGGGGACGCCGACAGAGAGTGGCTGGGGGGAAGAGACAGAGTCAGAGAAAGAAACACTGAAAGAGAGCTGGGAGAGGTAGGAGGAGCACCAGGAGAGAGCAGTATCCTGTAGACCAAAATTACGGAGGATGCAAAGAAGCTGTTGATGATCAACAGTGTCAAAGGCAGCAGAAAGATCAAGGAGAATTAGGATATCCTTTTGGTGTCATACAATATCATACTATTTGCGTTATTATTTCTTTATTTCTATAGATTGGTATGCATACATGCATTTGTATATAAAAGTATATTTACATCCATCCACACTCCTGTTAATGTGCAGGGGGCTAGATTGCCTGTGGGTTAGTAGGACTGGGCTGGAGCAAGTTGTAGGCTCCTGTATCCCACACAATGTGCTCTTGGAGTAAGTGGTATTACATATCTTTTATCCTGCACAATGCTACCACTCAAGGGAGGATTCCAGCTCTCCTGTTTGGGGAGATATTTATATTCACCAACTGGACATCCTACTATTAAGAGACCCTGAGTGAGCTTGGCACTTGACCAGGCATCTTAATAGAGCTTTAACAATACTGCTCTGAAGGAAGACCAAAGTTGGGAAGCACATTTACGAAATCAACATAGATGAACTTAAAATATATTATATATGGATTATTTGTTCCTACCTGTGTTTCTAAAATCAATAAACTTTATCAGAGAACATTATAACACTCAATGATGGCCCTAAAATCCACCTAAAGATGTTCCACATAATTGCAGAGAACCATTGTGTGCCTTCTGCTTTCTATTCTATTTAAACTAAAGTCCGTCTGTATTAATGTGGTTAAATTCTAATTTAAGTACTGGGACTATCTGGCACATGACAGTCTGTAATGGGCAGATGTAGCTACTTAGCTACGGTGCTTTGTGGACTCTACACCATTATTAGTTCTTTCACTAATAGGTAGCTAACTAATCTATAATGTGTTTTAGTATACTAATATCATATTATATATTTATAATAGACTTAAATTGTGAGTGCAATATTTTATTTTTGCCTCTGAGAAAGAATTCTTTTTTATTCCTTTCAGGTCTAAGCACAATTACATAACATTTTGGGAAAAATATACACCCTAAAAGTCCAGCACTTGAGGTCAATATGGCAAATATCTCTACAGCCACCATGTATTTCCCTTTGGTGCTCAGATAGGCCGGGATCATTGCAATCCAAACACTGCAGAATACCAGCATGCTGAAGGTGATGTACTTGGCTTCATTAAAACTATCCGGTAATGTCCTGGCTAAAAAAGCTATAATAAAACTAACAGCTGCCAGAAACCCCATATAACCCAGGACAGAGTAGAAGGCAATAACTGAACCTTCATTACACTGAACAATGATCTTTCCTGAATAAGAGTGTGTGTCCAGCTCTTGAAAGGGTGGGGAAAAAGCCAGCCACATAGTGCTAATGAAAACTTGGATGATTGAACTCAAGAAGACTACTGAATTGGACACTTTCACATTGACCCAGTGTTTCCAGGCACTGCCTGGTTTGGAGGCTTTGAAAGCAAAGTAGATCATGATAGTCTTGCCCAAAATTGAAGAGATCGCTGTTGAGAAGAAGACACCAAAAGAGATCTGACGCAGCATGCAGGTTAAATCCTCAGGATGACCGAGGAACATAAACACACAGAGGAAGCTCAGCATGAGAGAGACTAGAAGGGTGAAACTAAGATTTTTGTTATTAGCTTTAACAATAGGTGTATCCCTAAACATGATAAAGAGTATTAATATATTAAAGGTAATCATAAAAAATACTACAGAAGCAAATGCAAAAACTGCTGCAATTATATCTTCATTGTAAGAAAGAAATTCCACCAGTTTAGCCAGACACTGATCTTTCTTCTCATTCGGCCATTCAACTGCAGGACATCTGATGCAGTTTTCACTGTCTGATAAAAAGAAAGAAAGTTTAATGAAACCTCACATAGTTATTACATCTCACACATAGACAGAGCAAAATACAGGGTACAGTATCTAAGGTGCAGTTTCTAAGATGTAACAGATACTTTTTTCCCCAAATAGCACCACATTCTACCTAATATGAACCTGAGTTTCTAATGTGCTAAACATCTACAGCTCCACATCTATTAAACGACACTGCAGACCCCTAATACGCTTCAGCATGCTAAAAAGCTTTATGTGTGAAGAGTGTGTCCTCTATTTTCATTTTGCAAAAAGTGCAAATTTCAATAGCAATTGACCTGGTTTTATTAACCTGGTTAAACGTCCTTGGCTTTCAAGCAGACAGCAGGCAATGCAAATTGACCAGAGCACCTGCCTTACTTAATTGCTAAAAGAATAAAAAAGTAAACATAAAAAGAGTTATTGTAAGCTTGTTAGAATAATTTGGTGCTATATACATGCTAATAATAATAGTAAAAATACATAAATTATAATAGATATTGGAAAAAGAGGTGAGGCTAAACACGATGCAAATCCTCACAGAGCAAATACAAAAAAATTACTATTATGCATCAGCCGCAGATTTCATGATGGACTTTAAGGGAAAAAGAGGTTCAGGGGATATGATATTTAATATGTGGGCTAACAGCATCTTGATCCAAGGAGAGCTCTCATGGAATGAGAAGGAGTAAGATGAGGATTCTTTTCCTAGTTTGTTGCAAATGTAGAAAGAGTTTCAAACTGGCTTTTCTGCCTTCTTTTGGATCAACAGCAGAAACTTAATGTCCCCCCTGAAGCTCCCACCCATCAGTGACAGGTGATACCTCTAATTATAATAAGTGGGGAGAGACTTAGTCTCCTCCACACTCCATCTGAAGTCAGTGGGTGGGGGCTCTAATTATAATAAAGGGGAATCTGATGTCCCTCCCAGCCTCCATCCATAGGTTGCGGGTGAGGGCTCTAAATCCCACCAAGACCCCACACATGGGCGGGTTCAAATAGTACTACATGAAGGGGACCTATAGTTCTCCACTAGTTCCTAACAATGGATGGCAGCCATGAAAGAGCTGGTTTAAAACCTTGCTGACCATAGTATCTCATCACATGTAGGTCTTTATTCCATTTTATTAGCAAAAAAAAGATTTATTGACTGGATTTGGATAAAATGTTTATCATATTTTGAATGGATTTAATGCCAGATGGAATTCTAGCAGCCAAACTTTGAATTGGGTCGGTTTCTCAAGAAAAATACTCTGATAAATGTGCCTTGTGAACCCATGGTTTGACCTTTTTTCAATTACTTACCCTGTTAGTCATAAAAAAAAAAAAAGAAACAAAATAAAAGCTGTGACAAACACTCCTTACTCTGGACGTTTGCCACAAACTCCTGGAGGAGTGTGGAAGCTAGCCTCTTGCCCACTGACTATGGGCCAAATACATACTGCCAAACTCACTATTTTCCCTTCTGTTCTCAAGACATTTCCCTCCTGGTTTGTTTTTATAGTTTCCCAAACAGAAACACTTTCCCTGTGTTCAGTAGATAAATCTACCGAACACCGACCACCTCCTAGCTGATTAACTACAAAGAAACCACAGACTTAAGTGCTCTCTCTGGGTGGCCACCGTTCGTATAACCGAATGCCACGTGCTGGAGCAAACAGTGGCCATCTTGTCGCATGAACGCAGGCAGCAGGACTTGGTCGTCGAGTGTCTGGAACTCTAAGTCAGACACTCGACCTCGTGAACACTGGTAAAATCATATGGACGCCTGCTTCTTTCCGCGACAAGCCAGGAGAGCGCTGTTCGGAAGGTTTGGCGAACAAACACTACCTATGAGCCAGGGGGACCATTCAACAGTTTATTCGTATGGAACTCCCAAAAGTGACCGACCGCTACCACTGAATCTCTGGAGCTAATTTTGGCAGATGCCTCCTGTGCGGTTGGTCAAAATTTTACCCCGGTGGCGTTTCGGCTGTATTCATGGTATCTGGGTGCTATTTGAACAACTTGGGCGCTCAGATCCAGGCTATCCGGGGATATAATATTTGTGGGGGTTCCTATATTTATTATGTATATTTTTATATGCTTAGTCATTCTGACACAGAAATCCATGTGCGTGTTGTGGGAGTGTTCTGGGTGTGTTTTACTATATCCTTTCTGTGTATATAAATGGGCCATTTGGCCATGATAAAATATTCCTGTTTTACCCTTCATCAAGTCTAGGCTTATGTTTGGTTAGCTCAGAGCATTAATCACTGCTTTACTTGGGATTTGGGAGAACTACAGCGGATATACTCAGTCGGAGTATAGGGGATCCGTTACAAAAGCCTATGGGGCTTAGTATGGCTTCCATATTATCTCAAGGAAGGTTTAATACCTCCCCCATGCCGCACGTATCATGGTACATGTGGGGGCATGTCTGCTAAACAGCAAACAGCTAGAGGCTGCTAACTGTAAAAAAAGACTGGTGACTGGACAGCTATTGCTACCCAGCTGCTTTAAATATATATGGGAAAATGGTTATGGTCCCCTGAGCCCCCACCAGCAGGTGTGGACAGATGGGTACTGTTACAGACTGCCATTTGTAACTGTTATTTTATTTGACAAATTGCCCTGCTTCCCTGTGTTATGGAGAAGCCTAATTGCCAGCCTTCTGCCCCATGACTATGGACCTAGTGGGTATGGCGATTTGACTGTATTTGTGGGATCTGAGCGCTCTTTGGATATATTGAGCGCTCAGATCCAAGCCATCTGGGGATAGTTTGAATGTGGGGGTTCTGTTCAGTATGATAGGAGTTAGGTATTTATGTGTCTTTTTGTGTCTAACATGTGGTTAATGGAGTCTGCCTCTATCCCTGGATATAAGTGGATTATTTTCCCCATTGTCTCCGGGATAGAGGGCTCTGTAAAACCGGTTTGGGCCAGATAACCATGCTGCCAGCCAGGCCCCAAAAGATACTTTTGCTAACTTTTCGAACCCCTTGTCTGATTTGTGCCATTTTTTAATATGTTGCTCCCCTGAATGGATTGATTCTAAATATGTAATTTTTATGAAGATTGGATGTGTAGTTTGAAAGTTATAGTACATGTATAAAAACTGTATTTTTACTGCCTGTGTTTAATTATGTTAACCCATTGTGTGCCATAATTAGATCACAGGCAGAGGGGAGGATTTTTGTGTGTAATTGCTGGGAGTGTTTCTGTAATGTACGTTTATGATTGGTTATTCTGTAAACCCCTGTGGGTGGTCCTATCTCAGGGAAACCTGCATAAAAGAAGGCCCTTTGGTGCCAAGTAAACAGATCTTCTTGACCCTCAATACGTAGCCTTGTCTATTGGAGGGAACTGCTATATCACACTGGGGATTGCTATGCTCTGCATATTCCCCATAGCTTTTAATCACTTAGCTCTTTTAAGAGCTGTTCCTGTTACGCTTTCCTGGAGGAGAGGTCTTCCCCACACGGTCCTGGAGGACAGAAGCTGATCCAGGGTGGAAGGAAGACGGCGAGACTCCAGTTAAGCTACGGCGGTTGTGCAGTCTGCGGTGGTTGTGGTGTCTGCTGCAGTGTTTGGAGTCCTCAGGAAGCGCTAGGAGCATCCATCAGCGGAGGGTACACGGTCGGAGTACAGGGAGCTCCGTTACAGGTACTATCCACCGCCATGCCCCCATGGCCTCCCTCACCCACGGCCAACAGATGGGGAATTTATTAAAAATGAATAAGTTGACTTATTGTGCCCTCTGTCCCCATTTATTACCAGTGGGTGGGGGCTATAATTATAATAAAATGACAGGGATCTAATGTTCTACCCCCAGTCTCCAGCCTTAAATGTCAATAGATAGACTCACTCACCTTATTCCCCCATATTTAGGTATTTTGACGATGCTGGATGTCCCCATGCACAGCTCCATGAAACAGCAGGAAGTGCCTCTAGTAACTTTCTGGTAGACAGCCACTAGTGGCAGTCTTAACACTCTAAAACTGCAATGTATTACATTGCAATCCTAAGAGGACAGGGATAATGCATTCAGCTCACCTTAATGAAATAAATTGATCTGGGTACCTATAGTGTCCCTTTAATAATAGTGAGTGCCAGTAAATAAAACAAGTGCCTGTAATTAAAAAAATCTGTATCCGGTCGGTATGTGTAAACTATAAAAGAAGAAATAATTTGTGAAAAAAATAAAGAAATAAATATAATAAAAAATAATCCATCTTCTCCTCATAGTTTTTCCACACATAATAAGTGGGACTTGCCTGTCAGAGCACTCTGATTGGTTGTACTAGTGAATGAGCAGCAGTGGCCTTTTTGCCTGCTGTTTGGTGGACATGCTCCTACCCATGGCATGATGAGTGCAACATGGGGCAATATTGAAACTCCCTTGTACTATTGTGGGGATCATATTAACCTTCAAAAGCTCTGCTATTACTGCAAGCAGGCAAATAGTTAAAAAAAACCCCAGCAAAATGGCAAAAAGACAGCATTTTCTTTTTGCTATTTTCAAGGCAAGTTATCGAGGATTAGGTACACGATAAATAATATTGAGTCACCGAAGTATAATATCGGTTTTAGAAATTTCCTGCAAATCTATAGTGTTCGAAGTGATATTTATTGATTCATTTAGAATATATTATATGGTGTACCAGATATATTGGATATCTCTCCCTCTGAACAAAGCACACAGTTATAGCAGCAGGCCAGATTTCCATGTCTCTGTATTTTTCTGTATCCAGGCAAACAGCGCTCTGAACATTGAGATGTTGGGATCTATAAACAAGAAACATGAAATGTACCATTTGATATTGATATCAGTCATTG